GCTGAAGCAGGCTGTTAACTATCTGCCATCCTGCCCGAGCTGAGCACCGCTCTGTGTGAGCACCAGCAGAGCCCTTGGGTGCTGCTTTGTGAGGCCATCTCATCCCCCAGCCCCAGCCTTGGCACTCGCTTTGCTGCAGCCACCGAGACCAAAGCTCCAACAGCCCCAGGAGGGGACGGCTGTGTCCTGGTTTGTTTGCTTTCTGCAGGGTTTCCCTCTATTCCTGGGAATCTCCTGACAATCGTAACCCAATGCCTGTCCCACCCACACCGTGCACTATTTGCTGGCTTGATCCTGGCTTCATTTAACCACACCAGGAGGGAGGACTGCCTGGCTTGTGCAGCAGCAGGCCCTGGAGGCTTGGAGCACCCCAGTCCTGGCACGGTGGGTGCAGAGGGCAGGTGGAGGAGAGCGGCCGCCTGCCCCTTGCTGCTCCCCGGCCTCGCCGCCTGCATCCCCGTGGCCACAGGTCCTGCCGGCTGCTCCTGCCTCTTTCCATGACGTGGCACTGCTTTCTACCTGTGTCAGCAGGGCAATTAGTGGAATGAGCATGCAATAATTGTCCTGCCCTGAATCCGCAATGCTGCGGCCTGACATCTGCTGATACGCGGGCAGGGAGCTAATGCACCTGCCAGCAACAGGAGCAAACTCCGTGCTTGGAGCACTGAGAAAACCCCAGGGCTCAGCTGGGTGCAGGACGAGGGCTCAGGTTGTCAGGTGCACTCTCCTCCCTTTCTAGGGAAGATTTCCTCCTCTCCACACTTCATTACTGACCTTTCATAAGGCAATGCTTCACCTAAGGCACTGGGAGAAGCCAGCCCTTCCCTGGCACGGTTTGGGACGGGCTCCTCTTCCCCATGGCCTGTGCCTGAGCCCTTGGCTCTGCCCATCGCCCTGCCTCGTGCTGCCCCTCTGACATCCCCTCAGCACCCCTGAGATCCTGCGTGCCAGGAGAGGGCTTATTTTGGTGGCAGGCAGGAGATGTTTGGTTACGACTGCTCAGCACTCGTGTCCTGAAGGCAGGCAGGACCTCGTGCTGTGTGAACAGGCACAGGGGGAAGCAGAGCCCTGGAGAACCGGAGAGGAGAAGGATCCAGCACGGCAGCAGAGGAATAATGTTTCCAGGCTGATACACTCGGTTGCCAATCGGCAGTAGTTTGCCTTTGCAGTATTAACAAATACCTTACTTTCTGCAGTAATAAATTCATACCTTTGGTCTGAAGTACAGCCATCCTTTGTAGGTGTGATATCATAAATCACGTGGTTAACTGGAAATGTGTCCAATTATCAGGATTCAATCAGCTCAGCAAATAAAACTGGGGCAGTAATTGCAGGCTCTGCTGCCTGTTGGGCAAAGCTCACGCACGGTGCCGCCGTGCCGGGTAACCACAAGCAGGCTCCTGGGCACAGCCCCGCACCTCCCCGGGGGTGCTGAGCAAAGTGCTGAGCAGAGGAGGAAGGTGTGCGCCCTGGTTGTGGAAGGGCTGTGTTAACAATTGGTTTGGACAAAGATCAGGAAAAAGCAGCAGCCCTTTATTTGCGGGTCAAGGGCTTTTACTAGGAAAAAAAAAAAAAAAAGGTGACAATGAAGAGGTGTATAAAACCTTTGGCTCTGCAGCACTGGAGCTCTGTTGGCAGTAGTGAAGGTGTTCTGCTGCCTGGCTGCAGGATGCTGCAGCAGGAAAGTTTGTGTAGGGCTTCCCCAGTGTCAGCCCATGGGACTGTTTCTGCGACTGTCGTGTTATTTTCAGTTGGTTTGTTCCTTTTGACATCCTAAAGCTCTACAATTAAGAGGAGTTTTGTTTTTATTGTAAAACTGGCTTCAACATCTTCATGTAAGCTTCAGGTAATGCTGGTTTAAGCATGGTACAAGTGACTGGCAAGGCTGCCCGCCTGGAAGCGTTGGCTCTGCTCATCTCTCAAATGCCCACTGATTGTACGATGATTCCTTTTGTTATCAGCACAGAGAGGTGATCTTATTTTCAAAACAGTGGTACTGTCTGTATTTCCTTCTCACTGTCCCACAAGGTGCATAGCACAAGAAAGAGCCACTTGTCCTCCAAGCCATGAAAAACTATATTGCATTTAATTGTTTTGTCTACGTTTGGCATGAAGCAAGCTTTCTGCAGCAAAGCTGCTCTCCTGCTATGTGGATTAATTCCCATCTGGATGTAGCTGTGTGCGTATTAAAATGAATGTAGTGATAGGGAAAGGAGTAATGGCTTTAAAAGAACAGAGGGTAGATTTAGATTAGATATAAGGTAGAAATTCTTATCTATGAGGGTGATGAGGCATGGGCACGGGCTGCCCATGGACGCTGTGGCTGCCCCATCCCTGGAGGTGCCCAAGGCCAGGCTGGATGGGACCCGGAGCAGCCTGGGCTGGTGGGAGGGGTCCCTGCCCATGGCAGGGGGTGGAATTAGATGGGCTTTAAGGTCCTTTCCAGCCCAAATTTATGATTGTCTGAAGGGTGAAAAACAGCCCTTATTCCAACATAGGATAACCGGTCGGAGATTACTGAAAAGCTCATTTAGGATAGGCAAGTTGAAAAAAAAAACACCTGTCAAGGGCTTAAAACAATTTTAATTGAATGCCTTAAGCAGGAGCATTACCTTAAGGAGCTCATGATGTTCCTCTGGGTAAAAGCAGCCGAAACTGTCCCTGGTTTGCACTGGGAGAAGAAATGTCACTTCTGCAAACCCCGGTGCCCTGGTGATGAGAGAGGAGCTGGGTCTCACCAGCTTACAGTGCTCCTGCCCTGGAGAGCATGACTCAGTTGGGATTTTCCCCTCCCCAAAAGTTCAAAACATCATCAACAACAAGCAAAACAAACAAGCAGCGTCGATCTTGGCAGCCCTTCACCCAGTGAAGGGCCCGGACTGATAAATTCCGCCCAGTCATTGGGCTCCACCAAGCCAAAAACACTTTGCCTTGGCAAAACACCGCGTGTGTGGCCAGCTTGGCAGATGACCGAGGAAGCACCTCCTGCATCCCGATAACGAGACGCTTCACGTGCCCGCGGCTCCGGGCTGTGAGGCACCGGCTGCTGTTACTTCAGTCCTCAAATCTTGGTCAGCCCTTTAATCTGTGCCGGCGCGGGTGCTGCGCTCCTGTATCTGAGCATCACCGTGACAATCCTGTAACGCATGAATGGGCAAATTAATCTCTGTTATTTTGGGTACTCTTTGCATCATAGAAAGTTTCCCTTCTCCCTCCCCAGCGGGGAAACAAAGCTGCAGAGGTTCCTGAGCCAGCCCCATTTCCTCTCATTGCACTGATGAGCGTAGAAATTGCATCGCTCCCTGGGCATGAGGTGGCAGGAGCTGTGCCTGCCATCAGCCTGGCATGAGGCTGGTCCACGGGGGCTGTCCCAGGCCATCCTCCCCTGCCAGCCCAGGGGTGCTGGGTCTGAGCAAAGAGTCCAGCACGGACTTCCCCCTGCAAGCCCCACGGCCGCCTGTCTGTGCCGGGCACTTGGAGCTGTGGCAGAGCCTGCGCCGAGGTTGTAGGAGGTGTCTGCTTGGTTCCTGCAGCCTGGGCCAGGCTGATATCCTCTGTCCGACCTCACATTTGCTGTCTCTGTGAACAAAGTTATCCCCAAAGGTCACTGTTGCACAATTCTAAAAGATCTAAATGGATTCAAGGCGAGGAGTTGTGAGGTATGCGCTTCCCAGGCTGGGTGAGCTAGCTGGGAACGTAACGCGCCTGGACATCGCTTCTCCTGGGCACGTGCCAGAAGGTTTTTGTTTTGTGTGTGTGTGTTTGAAGCTGTGTGGCAAAAGGCTGCTGGTGGAGAGCTTCAGCGGGAACTACAGTCAGTACAGCTTATTCCAAAGACAAGCAGAGCAGCCCTTTTCCTGGCCAGATGTCCCAAATGCGCAGGGGATGAGGGCTGCTCTGTAGCCAGGGTGGTGGACGGGGATGTTGAGGAGCCCCTCAGCAACCACCGACATGATCTCAGAGGCTGACAGCTCAGCTGAGGAATGAATTTGCATTGTTCAGGGAGGGGGTTTCCACGCAGCACCCGATGCCAGTGTCTGCAGCTGGACAGGCTTTGCAGCAGCCACCTGAGGCGGTGCGGTAACACCAAGCCTTTTGGGCCACGAAGCATGGCTGAGGAAGAGCGCACACAATGGAAAAGGAAACTTGCTTTCCCCTTGCCTTTCAACCGCTGCCTGTGCTTTTTCTGGGGGCAAACCGAACTTCTGCAGCTCGTTTCACTGCCACTGCTCTCAGCACAGAAGCCCGCAGCGCTGCCAGCAGCGAGACCCACAGCAGGCTTGGCACACGGCGTGTTTTTGGATAGCCTCCACCAGAGACAGCACACGGCCTGCTAAATTCTGGAGCTAACGGTGGCAGGTGTGGGCCAGCTGCCCCACACGTGCACGGGGCCTGGGATGAGCAGGACTCCTCCCATCAGCTGCCCTGGGACAGGAGGGGAAATGACTCAGCCCGTTTTAAATTCCCTGGGCTTTCGTGACTCACACGGAATAACCCCTCTCGCTGGCTGTCAGCAGCACAGCTGCTCGGCTGTTTTCAAGGAATCTGGAATTCATTCCCTCCCAACTCTCCAACGAGGAAAAGCAAGCGTGTCATATATAAAACACTTTTATTAAAACAAATATACAACATTTTATATACAAAAATAAAATGTACAAGAAAAATAGTCTATTACAGCTTAGTGATTTGATTCCTACGTATTAAGTATGAACTAGAACCTCCTCCACCCTGCACTCTTCTGCACACCCTCGCTCAGGGCACGCAGGCTGTGGCAGCTAGCTGCATACAGTACTGTGGGGTTCCTACCAGCATGAGGAGCACTAGAACACAGCTCTGAAGGGCAGCGTATAAATAACAGGGTCTGCCCCTACCAGTGCAAAAATCGGATCATGCAGCCGCTCTTCAACTATTACGTGGAAGTGGATCCGGCATGCCTACGAGCAGATAATGTCCTATGAGTGGGCCTGGATAAGTGTACTATATGGAAGCGAAGCCTAAACTGAATTTTCACATTTTATTGGTCTAAGTTATGTACACGAGTTGAAAGATCTGAAGACAAAACTACATGCTGGAGTAAATCAAGGAAGAGAAGGCCAATTAGTGCAATTTTTTTCTACGTGTAATGACAGTCATTAAGCTGATAATGTCACCAGTGTTGCACAAGTGAGCAGCAACCAAACCAGACTCCTCCGCACTGTCTCTCCTAAGCACTCCGTGGGTAAAGTGCTCGCCGCCGGCGCGGGGGGACGGCGGTGGCCCCCGGTCCCCGGGAGCTGTTTGCCTCGGGCACAGCGGTCCCGCCACCGGGATGGGATTCCTCTGCTTGTGATGGAGTTTTTCTTGCTAACTTTTTCAGGCCTACGAGTTAAAACGGAATATAACAGCTACTGTCTTCTTCCAGTCAGTAACAAAGGACTTCTACCATTCTCTTCAGGGTTGGAGTCTCTACACGAAAGCAGTCCACAGCCTGCGGGAGCCGGGGGTTTACAAGCCACAGGAGATGGTTTGCAGGGGTCTCACTGAGTCCAGCCAAGAGAATTCCAGGCTGCTCTTCTGGTCAAACGCGTGGAAATCCATCTCCCCTGGATAAGGGCGAGAACCCAGGGTGAGAACCGAACCCGGGCAGCGGGAGCACCAGAGCCCCTGCGTACCAACACACCCAGAAATGAAACGTTCCTCGGAGGTGAGCAAATACCCTAGGTTCAAATTTTGCTAAAAATACTCCAAATACTTTCTAATTAAACTCTCCCATGTAAGCTACTGCTAGTGGAAACCCTTGCTATAACGCTAGGAGTTCCCAAGACCTGGCATACTACACACATACGTAACCTTAAGGTAAACCTGTAGTTAAGCTGCTACTGGAGGCATTTTTCCTCTCTTCCTTTTTACCCCAGCAAATTCCTTACAGGCATCTGAACCTCTACTTAGGAACCTCAACACAGACACCTGTGAATTCCTCTGTTTGCTTTCTCCCCGCCCAGTTAGTTTCTTTCCTGAAAAGCCTCGCCTGCACCTTCCACCCTGGACTGTAAGCAATAACCAAGGTTTTGTACCTGAAGACGTGTCGATCTCGCCGTCCTGGTCCTTGTAGCTGTATGTGCTGCACATGGTCTGCGTGCCCGGCTCGTTGGTGAGGAAGCCTTTCCCCCCGACGCTGGTCGTGTGCCAGTCCTGCCCCGGTTCAAGCAGCTGAAAGAGAGTAAGGGGATGGTAAAAAAGCCTGAAATTTACAGGGACAGGGGAAAATTACAAAAAAAAAAAGTACAGGCTCTCATATGCAAGATGTAAATTCCCTACTGCCTATTAAAATTCGTGATGGTGAATAGAGCAAAGGAAAGGTTTCACTTAGACCATGAGAAATTATATAAAATTCCCCATTAAAATTAGGTTAACGCAAAACAGGGAGAGCAGGAGCACCTTCCTTGAAAAAAAAACAAAACATCCCCTTATCAGTGGGACGAGCGTGCCATGTCTGGAAGCACAGATTAAAAGCCACACACATGAGAGACGGAGGGAAGGGCAAAATAAAAAATAAAAAAAAAGCCTTGCTAGAGAAATCGAAGCCGAGGCAGACTCTAACAGAGCAACCTTTCCTTCTAGCAGTACTCAGTAGCTTCCCCTGACTCTCACAATAAAAGTAATACTTCCATGTATGTGTCATCTCCAGTTCATGTTTGCAAAATCACATTCTTTTTACATTTCATTTCTCAGGCCTCTTCATTTAATTAGGGTTTTGTATTACAGGAAGTGTACATTCAGCTCGTGTAGGGCTCAGACAGCTACTTCCCTTCCTATCTTAGTGCACACAGCAGCTTTGGCCAAGTTTATTCTGAACAGAAGGGCTGTTTTTACCTTAAAAATATTCGCTTTCATTTCATCTTCATCTTCATCTGTGACTGTAAGCACATAAAAAAGAGAAAACAGATGTCAACTTTTCCCACAGGTTAGCCCCCACGCTCCTGCTTCTTCACCACCACAGCCCGCTCCATATGCTTGTCACACACCACCACTACCTTTTTCTTCCCCCCCAGTAACTGAAGGGCTCCTCCAGAGGCAGAAGGCTTTTTGGAGGTTCGGAGCAGGCGCCCCGCTGCAGCCACACACAGCACCAAGGAGATGCTGTGGGTTTGAAGCCCACCAGCAGCTCCACGGCACAGCTCTCGTGGCCCTTCTCCACCCCAGCTGCAGGTGACCTCTTGCTCCTCCCCAGGAATCACCAAAGCAGGTAGCCCAGAGGGAGAACATTTGCATCCAGAGTGAAGAATCACACGGATAAGTCTCTTTTTTTTTTTTTTGTTCCTTTGGCAGGTGCAGCTACCTCCACTGTCACTAGCACACCTAACTCTGTCCTGCTCCTGACATTGCCCCTTCCAGCTGCCTCAGAAGTTCCACCTCCCTGGGCACCAGGGGCAGAGATCTCTCCTCCTCTTGGTGGCTGACCTGTTTGTGCCACGATGGTGAGACAAAGTTTGTCCTTTGCCCACACGCGCAGAGCAGATGGCATTGCAGAGCCCTTCACCTGGGAGCACCTACTCCTGCAGGTGGCCTGTACCAGCTCTTTGCTTTTCTAACCTGGCCATTTTGGTAGCTCCAGAAACCCAAATCCACCGGGTGGAGGTTGGTTTTCCTACAAGACAGCTTTTTCTCCCCAAACCCCAGGAACACCTTCACCCTTGCCTCCAACCTGCCCCAGCAGGGCTAGCACCAGGAGACCAACGAAAGACCCAGGTAGGAAGGAGGTGACACCAACCTTCTGAGGACGAACCCGGGGGGGACACCTGGAGCTGGTAGATGTCGTTGGTGCTGTCAGCCATGGCGATTTCCATCGGCGTCCTCCAGTCGGCGAGGGAGCCGCTCACCTCGCAGGAGGAGAGATCTGTGGGACACACCAGGAGCCGTTGGCAATCGCAGCCCCCACCACCACCACCACCACCACTTCCTCCCTGCCCATCTACGGCACAGCCAGGCACGGTCCCCAGAGTCATCTTTGTCTTTTGGTGACGAAATTGTGGCTTTAGCACAAGCGGCACTTTCCTCTCTGCTCTGAGCTAAAAACTGAGCCTCACCTAAGGTGATGGACGGGCTCTCCACCTCCACATCCTGCCCCGTGTAGTCATGAACGGTGTAGCCACTGTGGTCATCTGTCGAAGGAGTGTTGGTTAGTCTTTCTGCTGACTCCTCCGTCCTCATGTCTTCATACGGCTACAAAAATAAGAACGAAGCATGAAAGACTTGGCTAAGAGCACCCAGGTTCCCATATGAAAAAATCGTAGCACGAAAACCACCAAAACCTCTAGCTCCTTCTGCTACCTCCACAGACACATACCTTTCTCTTGCTCCTGCTTCTTGCTTCTCTTGAAGACTTTGACTTCCTTTCTGTTCAATAAAAATAAGACAGATGTGAGAAAGGCTGCACGGCTGACACGAACGCGAGCTCCCACAGCCCTGAGCTGCCTGCTCAGCTGGCAGCAGAGTCTGGCTCGACCCTGGGCGATGCCATTAGGCATCTTTAAAGAACCTGGGATCCAAGGGACTGCTTGTATAAGCTTTTTTTTTTTTTTGCCAGCAGTCCTGGTGCCACCAGCAGGTCTGTTATACCAGGTCTGTTATAGCCCTGCCTAAGCGGAGCGGGAGCTGCCTGGCACCAGCTGGATGCTGTGCGCTCACCTTTCTTCTGATCCTTTGTCAAGGGGGGCAGCATCCTGTAAACTCTAACAGCGCTGGAGCCTTTGTTGATGCTTTTATCCTTCACTTCTTCGATGTCAGGCAGGGAGTTCATAGCGCAGCGGAAGTTTGCCTTCCAGGTTTTCGGGTCAGGGTCTTTCTCACCAACTTTGTATCTTCCTATTAATAAAAGATGGGGTGAACTTTTAGTGTTTGCATTGCAGTGGTAGCCCTCCCCAGAAAAGACATTTTTCTCTTTTCTCTGACATATTAAAAGTCATTCTAACACCTGAGGTGTAAGTCAAGACAAAAATGCTTCATTTCAGATATTGCTATAACTGATGGAAATCTAAAGCCAGCACGCACCTGTATGAATGGCCCAGCTCCGGAAAAGGCAGGCATCTTTCTCCATGTCCCAGCCATGCTTAGCTGCATGTTTCCAGGGGATTTGAAACATCATCTTATCCTGAAGGAAAACCAATAAAAATTTGAATTAAGAAACCATCGAATGCCAGTTTGTAATGATGGATTTAACAAAGAATTCTATCAGTGGCAGCTCAGAAACTTTAAAAAAAATCTAACAACTGTTGTTCATTTGTTTTGTTCAGTGCATGTAAGGCTTTTAAGAGCTCTGAAACCAGGAAAGCTACACACAGTGTGGTACAGCAGCAATGAGCAATGTTACCAAGCTTATCCCAGAATCACTGAAGGATGTTGCATCGAGTCTGTTAGTGTATCACAAACTGCAGCACATTTCCCATGTACACTTGGATAGAGATTCCTTTTACAGTTATCCCTAAAATCCTGTATGAACCCTGAGAAAAACACAACCTAGCTTAAGTAACACCCTGGGATGGATATGGAAACTTCAGAGAAAGAGACTTCTTGAAGTCTCTTCTTGAGGAGAATCAGAGAATGATTCAATAAGCCTCATGACCTCACCCTGGGGTACAGCTACAGGGATGTGCTTCCAGCACCAAAGTGAGACAAGTCCAGAGTTTATTCCCAGCCAAATCTCTGAGCCCCATCCCGCAGTGGGGAGTGCAACAGTAGCTGCTTAACTGGGATGAGAGGCAGCTCAAGCGGGGATCAAGAGTTAAAAGTAGCCTGGGAGTTTTTCTGCTCTGCATTTTTTCTGGCTTATCATTTCCCTCCCGGGAAAATTATCAGGAAAAAAAAAACAAAAAAAAACGGAGTGCTACATTCTGTGCTAACTGGAGCTACCTTTTCTGGAAATAAACACGTAATGCATGCAAGTTTTCTCCATTTGCTTCACGATCCTGCCTTATGTTTAGTGCCCACTTAGGAGCAGCAGGGGTACCGATGCAGCACCGGCGGTCCCAAGGCGCACACCTCACCTTGTTAATCCATATCAGTCCCGGGATCTGATTGGAGTTAATCTGCATTTCCAGCCAGGGCCTCATGCGCATTCTGGAGACGGGCATGGTGGCTGTGGCAGAGGCAGAGGGTCAGCAGCAGCCCCACCACCGTGTCCCCTTGTCCCCTGTCCCCTGCCCTCCAGCTCCGCGCACCCGCGGCGCCCAGCGGCGGGGCTGGGAACGAAGCGGGCTGGGACCCCCCGGTCCCATCACAGCCCCCCGGTCCCATCACAGCCCCGTCCGCCCCCACCTCCCCGTGTCCCCCCCGGGCGCTCTCAGCCCAGCTCAGCTCCGTGCGCGGCCCCGGGCCGGGGCAGCAGCGGCGCCCCCCGCAGCCCGGCGCGGTGCGGAGCGGAGCCCGGGGGCCGCTCCCCGCCCTCCCCTGCAGGCCGAGTTTCCTGTTTGCACCGCCTCGCAGCGGCCGCACCGGCACTTCCCAAACAATGGCCCCAAACTTCCCCAGCCCGGCGCCGTCGCGGCAGCGGCTCCCGAGGCTCCCGGGCCGGGCATTGCCGCGGAGAGGGGCAGCGGGAGCCGGCTCCGGGGCTCGCCGCTGGGGCGAGGAGCGGAGCCGCCGGCAGAGCCCGCAGAGCCGCCGCTGTTCCCTTCCCGTCCCGTCCCGTCCCGTCCCGTCCCGTCGGGGGCACGGGGCCGCTGCCGGAGCTTTGCGCCCCGCAGCGCGCACGGAGCGGCGGCCGGGACGCCCCCCAAGCCTCCTCGGCACGGCGCAAACCGGCGCTGCCCCCTCTTGGCGAGCCGAGCCGAGCCGAGCCGTGCCCCCGGGACCGCTCCCACGGTCCCCGCGGGGCTCCTGCTACCGGAGCGGGGGGCGGCGAGCACCGCGACCCACCTCGCCGTGCGGGGCTGTGCAATCCGGAGCCGGGACAAGCCAAAGCGAGCCGAGCCAAGGCAAAGCAAGGCAAATCAAGGCGTGCTGTGCTGTGTCGCGCTGTGCCGAGCCGAGCCGTCCGCGCCCGCCGCCCGCCGCGCCGCCTTGTGCCGCCCGCGGGGCGCGCCCTCGGGTATAACGCGGCGGCGGCCGGGATTCCCCGCCGCCCCGGGCCGCCCGTCGAGCAACCAATCGGCCACCCGGCCAGGGGCGGTCGCGCCGCGCATTGGCTGCCTCCCGCAGCATCACTTCGGGGAAATCAGGCTGTTGTAGCACCAGCGGCACCGCCGGGACCCGCCCCCGGGACCGCCCCCGCCGCGGCACCGCGGGGGGCACCGGGGGGCCGATGGGGACCTGCGGGTGCCGGTGGGTGTCACCGGGAGCTGCCCCTAAGTGAGCCGGGGAGCTCAGCTCCGCGCCCCCAAGGGGGTTCAGGGACGCATCCCGCCCGCCGGTGCCCCCCCGGTGCCCTCCCGGTGCCCCCCAGTCCCGCCTGCAGGTCCCCGCAGATGGAGCTCGATGAGCCCCCCGGTGCAGGCTCCAGGACCCTCATCGTTTAGGAGTGGAAGCGGCCAGAGCGCAGCACCGATGTGGGGGGATTTTTAGCCCGGTGGGAACCTGGCTCGGGCCCGGGCTGCTTGTAGGGAGAGGGATGGGAAGGGTCCGGTACCCGGCCCCCCAGGCAGGCACACAGCCCCCTGGAGCTGCTGTGGGGCTGCCCGGGTCCAAACCGTGCACATCCCCCTGCAGCAGCACCAAAGCAGGGCAGTGCTGCGTGTGCAGCAGTCCTGGGGGGATGCAGCAGGGGCACAGCAACACTCAGGGTGGCAGAAGGAAAGCCAGCAGAAAAGGAAATAAATCAGGTGAAAATGATAAGGGATGTCCCTGACCTTCTGTATTTATGCTCTCACGGCACCGTGCAACGAGCTGCCCAGGCCTGCCCGGTGCCCCCCCCAACACCCAGAGCATTGCAGCACGGGGCCAGGACCCCCACCCTGCAGGAGCCCCAGCACCCCAGGGTGCCTCTGGGCCCGCAGTTCTGCTGAGCCGTGGTGATGCCAAACTGATTGAACTGGTGTAAAAGCCCAGCCTTTAACCAGGGTTCCTCCTCCTGACAGTACCTGTGTCACAGCCTCTTTGCAGTGCCCCTTCTCTCAAGGCTCCCAGCTGAGATCTGGCCTTTGCTGTCGGTGGTCAGCACTTGCAGGGTGTTTGATCTCACATCGCCAGGTGTATGTCGCTAATCATCCATTTTCAGTGCAAATGGGGGAAAAAAAAAAAAAAAAAAAAAAAAAAAAAAGGGAGGTGGGGCAATGGAGGCATTTTGCAAAGCCTGGCATTATTCTTCTCCCATCCTCCCCTGGCCTGGGCTGTGTGTGGCGCTGGGCTGGTTTGAAATCATCATGTTAGAAGGCACAAAGTGTGAGCGCTGGCTTTCTGCCCTCTCCTTCAGCTCCTTCAGGCTATCGAAATCACCAGGATTCCCCCCCGTTCCCTTGGATCTGGGTGACAGTGAGGTTAGATTTGCATCCAGTGGTTTCAAGGTGCCTTCAGTGCAGAGGAATACTGAAGATATTCCAGCTGGAGACATGGGAAGGCACCTCGGGAAAGAGGCAGAAAGATACATGGGCAGCCTAGACAAACGTTGTGACACGTCGTACTCTGCCCACACTGAGGAAGTTTCTTCTTTTATTTATTTTTTTAAAAGATTAAGGTATAAAAAGCCCAAGCTTGGGTTTAAGTGTGGAAGAATGCCCACCCCTGTAAGTGTCCCATGCTTTCTTTCAACTCGCAATTTTTTTGGCTGATTAATGTTTTTGGGTATATTTTGGTATTATCTGCAGTCAGGTCTTTGTCTTTGTGCTGGGTGAGGCATTCCCCAGTGAGCTTTCAGTGTAAATATAGATATAACATACCAGGTATATTAAACAAATAAAGAAGCAGAGAGGCACACAAACAAGGTAGGGACAGCACAAGGACATTTACAACTCCTCTGGCCTGTAGGAGGCCACAGGTTGACTCCTCAGCATAAGGTGCCCAGAAATCCAGGGTGCTGGGAGGTAACATGAAAGTCACCTGAAAAAGAGATGGCAGAAGGTATTTGAGGTTCCAGCGCGAATCCATCTAGAGAAACAGCCACAACGCCTCTTACACAACCTAAATATTGACCAAAAAGATCATGCTGCAGTTCCTTTCAAGCTCCAACCTCCCGTGGTTTGTTTTTTATCCCCTCAGCTGGCTTTAAATAAAATGAATCCTGAGCTTCCTGGTCCAATGGGCCGATGTGTCTGTATGGCAGTACTTGTATATGGCAACGTGTACGATAATGTTTATGGTAACGTACCATAAATAGTTTAAATGACAGAATTTTGAACAGTGCCTTGCTTGATATATGACTTTTATACTATTATGTTCCTTACTGGCTATTATTGTCAGGAATTGGCACCAGGCTACAAATAAACCCACCTAGGACAGAAATGCACAAGGAGGACTAACAGTCCTAGACCTAAATCCCCACTTCTTTCCACCAATATGAACCCCAAAAGATCCCACTCGGTAAACCTCCGCCTTCCTCCCCGCGTTGTGCCCCGTGTCTGCACAGCAGGTTTCCAAGGAGAATGACCTGCCTCGGCTGGGATGCCCTATGTTTGTTTGCTCCTTTGTTATCTCTGGGCTGAAACAAGGAAATACCGACTTGGCTCTTACCAGCGTTGCCCTGTGTCGGACGCTCGTCACGCCGGGGTTACAAAGCCCACTCCTTGCCCCCCACCGCTGCTCGCAGCGCCTGGCGACCAACGCACCTAACGCAGGAATACGCACTTGGATTCGGCTTGTGCTTGCATGAAAACGTGAACAGGGAATAATCCACGTGCTCTGAGAGGCAAACACATGACAGGCCATTAAGGTCTCCGCTCCACCCAGTTCCTTGCCCAGCACGAGCCTCCACCAGCTCCACCATCCCCGATGCCCTGCAGTGCTGCGGTCCCCCTTGGGCTTTATCTGATAGCGGTCTTATCTCAGGGACCTGCTTGGCCTTTTGGCTCGGAGCACCCTGCAATCGCCAGTGTATTCCTTCTCATCCCATCCCAGTGATCTGCTGGTTGTTTTGGCGCTGAGACGCAGAGGAGGACATTGACACAAGTATTTCATCACGTTTACCCAGTCTGGGGTGATCCCAAGTCTGGGATTGTTTCCTTTATTTGGAGGAAATCTTAAATAATATTTGTATTTAAAACCAAATCAGATCCCCAACTGCTGCTCCATGAGTGGTGTTCATCGTTCTGGGATGGACACCACCCTGTCTCAGTCAGCAATGTCCTGAAATCAGGTGCTCTTAGGAAGCCTGTACTTGAAGTGACACCAAAAAGCATCAACTGCATGGAATCAAAAAGTTCCTGACGTGCTCTACAAAAGCAGAGGGTGACGGATTTGGCACACTGGCACTGGCACCGCTCTGTGATCCCACCTTCACTGCGGTGGTTGGTTAAGCTGCCATGAAGAGCAGTTTGGGATGGGTTCCCTCCTGTACTATATTAAAGTAAAGACTGCCAAAGGCTCTGCTGGCTAATGTGTGTGTGGTGAAATGTGTGGTTTTCAGCAGTCCACCAGAACCTGACCTGGAGGCAGAGCTGTCACGTCCCCGGTGACACCAGAGTCACCCGTGTGCAACCCGGGCTGCTGCTGGAGCTGCTCAGGGCTTCTTTTGGTGGCAGTGACGAAGAGCATCTTCTCTATCTTATCTCCTACACTACTGTAATGCTTTTTCTTTGCAGAATTGCCTTGGAGCGAAGACGAGACCTCCCAGGCTTTACCCCCAAGCCGGGCTCTGAGCACCCAGCACCACTTTTGGGGAGCGAGGGGCAGAAATCCTGCCCAGCCCAACACAAAGGGCAAAGCCTTTGGGTGACGGCAGTGAGGGGCACACACGATGCTGTTCATGGCAGGCTCTGCTTTGCTCCTTCTCCCCCCCATGGCTCTGGAGGAGGCCAGGGGTGAGGCTGCACAGTGGGGAATCCCTCCCCCGGGGGGGGGGACGCTGGCGGCAGCAATCTGCCTGCAGTGCTGGGGGTGGTGCTGGCTGGGGGCGAGCAACCGCAGGATGGAGCAGGATGGAGCGTGGCTTTTGGCAGGGAAACACAGGGAGCATGGCGAAAGCCAGCCCCTTATCTGCTTCCTCGCTGCCCTGTCTGCTTCCTCCCATCGCCGTATCGTGACCTGCCCGTGCCCACCAGCACTCAACAGCCCTCCAGGTCCCGCACCGCCAGCGTTTGCTTCTCCTCTCCTGGTGCTGGGTTGCGGTGCCCCAGCTCTGCCTCCCTCCCTCGCCTCCCTCCCCGTTTTTCCCAGTGCCCCAGCGGCCGGGACATCGGGCTTTCCTGCACAACTCCCCTTTCCCTTCCCCACTTCATCTCCTGCCTCTCTCCCCTTCAGCACCGTGGCGAACCCTGCTCTACTCCGTGCCCTTCCTCCTTCCCTTCCCTGCTCGCCTTCCCCCTTTTCCCCATCAAACTCAGAAACCATCATTGCATTTTGGACGGGCTGGCTTGGGCCCATAAAACGGGTGCAGAGCCTCCCCCATGAACTGGGGAGCCCTGGGGGGCTCCTGGGCAGCGAGTGCCCGACCACCAGCACGGCACCGGGACCCCCAGCACCCATGGGTGGGCAGCGCTGGTAGCCCTGGGCTGGAAGGGGTTAAGGAGCAGCCTGCAGGATGCATTATCAGCCCTAGTTTTGAAGGCAAACATGAAGAAAAAAACCCAGCTGCTTCTCTGTCTGTAGCCTTGAGAGCGCAGTACTTGTTGCAGGCTGTTTCCATTTCTTATAAATGCCTCTCTTACAAAAAGGAAGTTTGGTTGAAGCACATGCAGGACAATAATGTAAAAAATGTTGAAACCCTGCCCAGATGGCATGAGGTAATACTCGCTGGAGCTCTGCTCCTCGGGCTGCAATAAATATATCCTGGGATGGGCCACTTACAGTTTCCTGGAATCCAGCAGACCTATCTGAGGACCTGAAATCAGTTCTCCCCATTGATGCCATGGTGAATTTTCAAAGCAACCCCAAATGAGGCTCTGCGCTTCATTCGGTGGGGAAAAAAAAAAAAAAAAAAAAAAAAAAAGAAAATTCTGAGAATTTTGCTCCCTGCTGGAGGAGATGGCTCTTCCAGGAGCTGTTTGCACAGACAGGTTCAGTTTGCCAGTGGGCCCCGAGCTGCAGGCACCTGGCAGCCCCAGCCTCCCTGCCAA